AAAAAAAAAAAAAAGAATAGAAATTCTTCGTATTTACAAACTTATTTGCATTAAATTATGAGGTCCTCTGGGACTACACAGCTGTTGGCATATATTTTATTCATTATGGTGTTCCCCTAACTCCCTGGCATACTGCATTAATCACAGTTAATCTTCGGCTAATATACAGATATTCTTCAACTTATGGTGAAAGTTACATACCAATAAACCTATCATAAGTCAAAATTATAGTTAAGTCAAAAATGGATTTAATGGTGGCAACACAGCAGACGGTCCCCAACACGATGGTTCTATTTATGATTTTTTAACTTTATGGTAATGTGAAAGTGATAAACATTCACTAGAAACCATAGCCCCATCATAAATCATAAGAAGCTACTTGACATGCCATGAGGTTTTATCCCAATAAACACATCATCAAGTTGAAAAACTTAGGTCCAACCACTGTATATCAAGGACTATCTGTAGTCATGAATGAGTGACTAAAAAAATAAATGAAGTAAAAAATGATACTGAAACAGGCACAAATAAACAGGAGTACATGAGACGAAAATTATTTCCTGCTGGAGGGAACAAGGAACAATTAATAAAGGTGGTACAATTTGATCTGTTCTAAAGGGAGAAAGGCATTCCAGGCAGAAGGAACGCATGAGGAAAAAGGAGAGGAAAAAATGGCAGGATGTGTATGGGAATAACCTTATCAAATAAGGTTCAAGATTAAAACCTTGATTGCAGGGTAAATAATCATACTTTTTTTTTAACTGGAAGGCATATTACTTACTGATGTATGTAAAACTGTTAACCATCATTTAGGCTTTTTACTATAAAAATTTATAATCAGAGAGAGGTCAATAAGCTCCTGTATCTTTACTAGTCCCAACAAGTATTAATAGAGACTATGTCCTATTTCATGTAGAGCTACTCACTGCACCCCAAGGTTATTTTGAAGCAAGTCACCTACATCATATAATTCTATTTCTAAACAATATTTCTTTGAGTGTCTCCAAAAATAAGACTCCTTCTGCAAGTATAACTACAGTACCATTATCAAGTTTAAAAAGTAATAATTTATTAGCAACATTAGTATTCCATGTTCAAAATTCCCTGATATTTTAATAATCTGTTATATAGTTGTTTCCAATGAAAAAGATCCAACTGAAGTTGATTCATTGCAATTGATTGTTAAATCTTTTAAATCAGTCTCTTTCTCTGTATCTCTTTCTCTTCCTCCCTCCTTTTCTCCCTTCCTTCTCTCCCTCTGTCCCTCTTAGTCATTTTATTGTAAAGTAAAGCACATACCAAAAAAAACAAAACAAAACAAAATAAAACACACGCATTAATGAGTTATTACAAAGCAAAGGCCTTTGTAACCATCATTCAGGTCCAGGAACCTTGCCAACCCCTCTTGAAGGCCTTCTTCATGGCCCATATCAATCACACCTCCTTTACTACTTTCCAAAGTAGTCACTGTCTATACTTATAAAGTAAAATCACTTTATTTATATATTTCTCACCTACATGTGCATGCTTAGATGCTATAATTCTATCTACTTTTTAAATGCCTATGTTTCTTTTAATATATACAGTCCCATTTCACGATATTCCTTTTCTTATAATTTATCTTTTGAAGAACTCAGCACATCTGACCCATAGAGATTCACATAGACTAGATTTTATTGATGACATATTCATGCTGAAATTCAAGATATTTCTATGTTATTTACATATCTCCTGCAAAATGACAGTGGGAGCCAAAGGCTTAATCGGACTCAGGTCTAATTCATTTGGTAATATGAATCAATAGACAATATTTTCTTCTTTTATCAGAAGAAACATGTCTGGTGGTTTTTCATCTTGTGATGTTAGCAGTCTTTGATGCTTAAATGCTTAGATTTATTAATTTACTAAGAGTTGCAAGAAGATGATGCTCTAATTGTATCATTAAATTTTCATTTATTATTAGAAACACTTTGCAAAACACACTGCTTTACAACACTTCATTAACCAGTGTTACATGTCTTCTGGGAAAACCAGAATGAGAACCTGATTGTTCTCCTTTACCAGTTTTTAAGATAATAAACTGATTTCCTATCATCCAAATATCATTCATGAAATTTTGTGGAAATGTCATTATGAAATTAAAAATTTCACCTGACTTCATAGGATTTAAATCATTGCAATTAGGTTCAAATTATTTAGGCTCAAATTGTTCATCTTTGGCCAACAGAAGACTCTTCAAATTGACTCCTAAGTTGTATTATTAACAACTTAAGCAGAGACAGAATTTAAAATTTTCAGCTTTTGAAATCTACAACAAGCTGTGTTTGTAGAATTTTTTATTTCTCTCTGGAGTTCTGTCGACTTTTGCTGCATATTTTTAAAGCATTGTTATTAAGCACATAAGTTTTTGTTATTTTTATGTTTCCCTGATAAAGTGATTCTTTCATTATTATAAAACATCATCTTTATCTCTGGTAATCCTCACTGTCTACTTTATCTGACATTCTTATGGCCATTCTAATTTTCTTATTGTATCTGCCATTTATTTATTTATTATTTTTAATTTTATTTTTTTTCTCCCTTTCACCTTCTATTAATCTTCTATTATCTATTGTGTTTTATTCTGGTATCTTTCTCTTAGATGACCTTCATTTCTAAAATGATTTAATTTCTTCTAAGTTTGTATGGAGTTACATAATATATATAATTTTTGGATGTTTCTAATTCTTATTATTTCTTCACATCTTATAACATTTTAAAATGTCTTTTAGCTCATTTAGGAAATAGCAGATTTTTCTGAATTTTAAAATATTAAAGGATTTTCTAAGTTCACCAAGTTATCTTTTCAAAACTGTGAAGTCTTGGTCTTAAGATGTCCTGGGTTTCTTCTCCTGCTCTATTTTTATCCAGTCCTTCTCTTTCCTTCCGATATATTGTCCTCATCCAGGTTACTTTTGATTCTACTCTCTGTAGCTTCTCCTTAACATGGCTGGTCATATTACAGAGTTGTGAGCAACTACAACTTTACCCACCCCTTCAGTGCCTCTTGTTTAGGTCTCTTGCACCACCCTTTACTAGAGAGCGAAATCTCTCCCAATTTCAGCTCCTGTTCTCAAATTGGCTCATCACACTCTCCGGTAAGTACCTGTTGGCTCTTTTGGTGCCCTCCTGCTGTCAAGTCTGACAGACACCACACTACTTCCAGATGCTTCCTTCCTTACTCACAAACACTGATCCCATATGGGCTTAGGCTGTTGGTGGTTTGTCTCAGTTAACTTTATCAAAAGTGGTTCATGTGGATAACATGTCACTGAGTTATGTTATAAATTCTGTCCATGGGGTTTTGGCTTTGGTGTATGTAGAAAGTTGAAGCAATTCAAAAGCTATGTTGCTGCTACAATTGCTACCTTCCAACACTTTTATATTTTGGTTAAACACTTTCCAAATCCCTCAGATGTGGAAGAGGCCTTAGATGGACAGTGCCTACAAAGGGGGCAAAGAAGAAAACACACATAAACAAGAAAATGCAGTACTGACAAATCAAGGAGTTGAAATTCACCTCATAAATTAACAGCTTATGACTTCATTAAGCAGGAACTAGAAGTGGGCAAAATTTCTTAAAATGTATTTCACATGAAGTTAACGGAAATAAGGTAGTTTTGGTATTCTAGTTAGAGTAATTTCAAAAATAGTGGCCTGAGACAGAGTACTGTATACCACTTCCTTTAAAATGGTACAAAATGAAGATGTGGTAAAATATTTTCATAAAGTTATCATGGAATAAATCAGATAATCTGCCCAGAAATGCCTTTGCTTATACATATAACTCAGCAAATAAGTATTGTCATTTAATACGCCATTAGAGAGAATAAAATGTAGTCTAATTTTCCTTACCATATACCAAGTGATGGTCGGTTTGACACTGGAAGGAAAATATCCATCTACGTTTGGACAAGTGATCTTCTGAATACCATATTCTATATATAGTTTCTGCACTGGGAGTTTCATGGGGGAATTGAAACAGCTGTCTTTTTGAACAACTTCCAAGGGAAATGCAACTTTGCTGCAATATGTGGTGTTCCTGAAAAAGAAATATACAATGAATGGGTAGTATCTGCATTTGATTTCACATAGCAACCACATTAAAATGAACTAAGTGAAGCAATGCTACATATTGAGGCATCATTTATATATGTAAGTTCATGTGAGAGATAAAATGGAAGTGGAGGCATTTCCTCCAGCAATTGACATCACAGAATAAAAAAGGCACCATTAATTGCTAAATGTACTAAACTATTACTAATGTACTAAAGTATTTATACTTTCAGATGTGATCCTGAATGTGTGTTTGTCAGTGTATATAAATAGTCATGTGTCACATAATGACGTTTCAGGTAACGGTGGATTACACATGTAATGGTGGCTTCATAAGATTATAATGGAGTTTAAAAATTTCTATTAGTGATATCATTGTCATGGTAATGTCACAGGACAACATATTATTCATATGTTTATGGTGATGCTGGTGTAAACAAACCTATGCACTCTCAGACAAATAAAAGTCTATAGTAATGTCCCAGGCTTTCGCATTCACTCACTACTCACTCCCCCATTCTCCCAGAGCAACTTCCAGTCCTACAAGCTCCATTCATAATAAATGCCCTATACAGGTGTACCATTTTTTTCCCTCTTTCATGTTATATTTTAACTGTGTCTTTTCTATATTTAGAGAACTTAGGTCCACAAATTCTTACCACTGTGTTATAACTGCCTATAGTATTCAGTACCACAACATGCTACACAGGTCTGTAGCCTGGGAGTAACAGATTACACCATACAGCCTAAGTGTGTAGTAGGCTCTGCCATCCAGGTTCATATAACTACAGTCTACGATGGTCACGCAATGACAAAAATCAGCTAACAAAACATTTCTCAAAACACATCCCCTGTTCTGCTGTTCGACATAGCAAAATATAACTGTGTATATGTGTAACACTTAAAACGTTCTCAATAATACTGGGTGCAGGTAAGACACAGGCATGAATGGCATATTTATGCAGAGTCAATAATGGTATAAGCAACCTTTGGGGAAAAAAACATGTTTATAGGATCATAAAAAAGCCTTAGTTTTTGCCCTAGTAATCTTATGCCTGGATATTGTGTCACATAATCGAACAACAGAAAAGGGGGAACAGAGATAGCACATAGTCAAAGATGCCCATCAAGAGACAGATCAGCAAGGAAAAACATTTAAAGCCATAGAAAAATGTGACAAGTGGAATACTATAAAGAAAACTGTGGTACAATCATTCAAAGTTGTTGTGAGAACATATACAAACAATCAGGCATGAAGGAAAAAACACATTCAACTTCTTAGGATGACTGGGGAATTGCATTTGCCCTGTAATGATCACACAGGTTGTTCAGTCACCTGGAGGGCTTACTTCCCTCATCCCCTCCATATCACATGCAGGCCTTCTCTGTGAGCTTCTCCCACCTCATATCCGAATTAGGTCTGTCATTTATGGAGCACCTTGGACATTTCCTTGATTCAATTTGTTATAGTTCAAAATTATATTTTTTATAGATATGTATCTATATCCTCTGTAAAATATAAGTCCTACAAGACTATTTTTTTCTTATATTAATTGCATCTACTATAGTGTCTTAACTTCAGTAACTGCTTAATAAATATTTATTATTAAATAAATGGAATGAATGTAAAGCATGTGTCTACAGATAGAAACATAAAAAAGAACATAGAATAAGCAAAACAACTGATTTTTTTAGGGTGATGTGGTAAGGAGTCTATGTCTGCCCATTTTTGTGAACTTTGTCTACAGTACCAAAATGACTCATGAATGCAGGCTAAATATAGTGGAAGGGGTGGGAGATGCATTCTCAAAGATGGAGGGGGGCGTGTTAAAGATGACTTTTTCCAATACTTGGAAGGTGGCAAGGGGGAGTGGCAGGCATGACCCTTACCTACAAATAACAAAAGGTCTGCCACGTGGAAAATGGATTCTATAGGTGAAAGTTATAGAAGGTAAATTTAAGTTTAAAATAAGAATATATGTTCTGATTAAAAAAAAATGTAAAGAACAGTAGTTGGATTGACTCAGCTCCCAAAGTTGAACAGTATTGGGGTAAGAACATAAATAAAATACTGAAAGATGAAACTAACTTTATGGTCTTAAAGACATTCAGGCCTATGATTCTACATGGTTCAGTTTAAGGTCATTCTCAGCTTAGACATTTCCTTGGTGAAACAGGAAACTTTGTAGTGCTCCTACCCGACAATTTCAATTCTAGATTCACTTGAGGAACATGGGAGATAAAGATGTAAACTGAAGAGGTGCCAATCTGGAAGTTAATAAATAACATTAAATGTATATGCAGGAGTTAACATCCACGCAGCCCTACTTTTATAGTGTAAAAGAAGATCGGAAAAATTTGTGGAAGAGCTACAAGCAAGTAGTAAGTAATTAAGAAAACAATAATACCTGTACAGATACATTAAGATGCACAGTAGAGACCATAGTTAAACAGAAAGCTCCTGATGACTTCTTCCCATTGGGAAATGTCAACAGATGAACAATTACCAAAGATAAAAATGAGCTCAGCAAGCATGTATCCCAACTCTCTTACTATGTGGATGTAGATACCACAGCCCTCAGACATGGACAGGACTTGCCTAAGGTCACCAGCTAAGCAGTGGCAGAGTGGAAGTGATGGCCTGTTTTCTGTCTTCTCCTAATGCTCTTTCCACTATAATCTGCTTTAACTTCTACCAACTTGTATTAGAACCTAAATTACGAGAACATGAGTACTTCAGGGTCCTCAGAAACCCATATACCAGTCTAAAATCTACTCCAATAAAATTGAAGTTTCCTATGAGAGCCTCAGAAGGGCCTTCAGAGGTTATAGACATTCCCCCTTACCCCCAACCCCGAAGAACACAGCAGTCCAAAGGCCTTTCTGTGATAGAAAGGAGGTTCTTTTTCACATAATCATAACTTAGCTTACATTTACCAAAGTATAGTAATAGTTTTCCATCAGGGAATAGTTACTCTTCATGAGAGCAAAAACATCTGTGATTATTTATTGTTACGGACTGAAATGTGTCACCCCACCCCAAGGTATATGCTAAAGTCCTAACTCAAGGTACATTAGAATGTGACTACATTTAAAAACAGAAAACTTAAAGACATAACTGAGCTAAAATGAGGTCACAAGGGTATGACTAGCATCCTTATTAGAAGAGGAGATTAAGGGGAGACCATGTAAAGACATGGAAAGAAGATGGCCATATACAAGCCAAGGAGAGAGGCACCAAGAATGAAATCAACCCCGCCAACACCTTGATCTTGGATTTCCAGACTCCAGAACTGTGAGAAGGTAATTTTGCTTGTTTAAGTCACCCAGTCTGTGGTATTTTGTAATTGCAGCCCTAGCAAAGCAACACACCTGTTAAATAGCACGAAATTGTTAAAAACGAATAACCCAGGGAGTTTAGAAAACAAAGCCAAGCCGGGCAGCTAAAAAGTGACTGAGGGAATTAGAATTAACCCTGAAAATGGCTATTATTTGATGAAGCCTCAGGTTTTTAAAATTAATTTTTTTCTTTTTGTTTTGTTTTTGCAAAAACAACAATAATGCAGTTAAAAAAAGAGGAATACTGTAGAATAAAATATAAAATCTACAAAACTTTCAAGGGAAAAAAAGGGGATTTGAAAGAAATTTTACAGTAACGGTAAATTGCTTGGGTTATATTCTTAGATTGCCAGAGATATGGTAATCTTGTGCTTCTCAGGGGAAATTTGGTAGAAATGTAAAAAGCATTGTCATACATACATACATGCCATGCCTCCCAAAAGAATATTTGGGAGAATATTAGGACAGAGAAAGTTCTAAGGAGGAAATTGTAACTGAAAAGGCAAACCTTGCGCAAATGAGAGAGACGATTCCCAGTTTGCTCTAGGTCTTCTGATTTGGGGGCTAGATTTGCAGTGTCCAATAGAAATTAAACCACATATGTAATTTTAGACATTTCAGTTTCCACACTAAAAAATAAAAGAATATTTGGGAGGCATCACAGGTATTAAGGGAACCTGAATTTCTCTTCTGTGTCAGGTACTTTGAAAGATGCCAAGAATAACAGAGACAAATGAGCTCTCTCCCCTGCCCTGTTCAAAGTCTAGGGAACTGGATGCCTCCAGGGGAGCATAAAGGTATGCAGGTCCTGATGTCACGAGAAGGGACAAATAACAAGGCTCCACTTTTAGACAACTTTGATATGTCTTAGGCTCTGGAAAGAAACTCCCTCCGAGAACATTCTAAGGCCAACAGCCATTTCCTCTGCATACCTCCTTCAGCTCCCTCCAGCTAAACCAGGGAGAATTACCTGATTAAATTCTATCTAAATGCGTCCGACTTCTCCCCAGCTTCCTAGCACATGGATCATCTGGGCAAAAGCCCAGTAACTAAAGGGAAAAGAGAAAGTCACTGCCAAGAATCAGGCTACCTTAACATGCAGGTATAGTTGCCAGTGTCATTGAGGAGGGTGGGCCGGAACCAAAGCACATCTTTCTCCTTACTAATGCGGTTCTCAGGGAGGCGGAAGTTAATTGGCTCCTCAAGGTCCCGGTCCTGCCTAGTCCAATACCAGATGAGAGTAAGGCCAGCTGAATGGGCTGTGCTGTAGTTAAATTTCAGGAAGTGTTCAAAGAGTGGGCACTTGACGCGAGCTGGCTCATCTTCAAATACTTGGATTTGCCTCATGGTATCTAGTCCCCAGTCATCGCAGCGTTCTGAAATAATCAAAAAGAAAAAAAGGGCAGATAAGTCATTTCACAACAAAGGCCTCCCAAGAACACACCTTCTCCTCAGGACACCCAGTGTTTTCCAGGAACCTCTTTCTCTGGTCATTTTCTAGCCTCTGTCTAATAACTGCATACAGTAGGCAATTTTGGTGTGAAGAAATTCCCGTTCTGCATTATTTTTTATTTTCTGAGAAGCTCTTGAATAATGATTTGATCTGATAACTTGACTCTCATAAGCCCTGCAAGGTATGGGAGAAGGCTTCACCTAAAAAAGACATCACGTGGCTTTTCACTTTGTGGAACAGAGAATGTTTTAAGGAGGAGACTGTAAGAGAAAGGACTCCCAGTTAGCCCTAAATCTTCTGATTTTTGGGCTAGATTTGTACTGTCCAGTAGAAATTATAATGCAAAATACACATGTAATTTCAGACATTTCAGTTGCCACACTAAAAAAGTAAATCAAAGTAATGAAATTAATTTTAATATTTTGTGAAACCCAATATATCCAAAATATAAAAATAATTAGCAATTTTACATTTACATGATTTTTCTGTGGTACATCTTCAAAATTCAACTTATTTTACACTTACATCTCAATCTGGGCTAGACACATATATCTATGTCTACTGTCTACTTCATTGGACAACATGACAGTAAACCTCAAGAAATCAAGAGGTCTCAGTGATACTCCTTGGTGGAATACTCATTCAGAGCGAAAGGTGCTACAGTTTCATTGACAGAGTCAAATAAAACTTGTAATGGCTCTTATAATTTATTCTTTATAAAGAAAAGTAATCACGTACTTAGAAATAAAAAAAAAATAACTTTTAAAAGAATTTTTTCTTTAAGAAAATAAGAAAAGACTTATTTTCTTAAAATAGTTAAATATTTATTTTCTTAAGAGTAATATCTGAATGGAGGGCTCTTGAGGTCACCAGAGGAAGGCTGAACAGGGATCGGGGTGATGAAGTCCTATGAGCCACAAAACCTTAGAGCAATTTTCCACTTAGGTCCCTAATGTACACACATACACAAGCTTACATATGTATTTTTTAACTCTATAATCTTTCCTACATTTCCATTGACATCTAAAACTTTTCATGCTAAGTATAATCGGAAAGGATATATTTAGTGTCCCATTATAGGTAATATCATTTTGAAAGAAAAGAGTTATATCATTCTTTTAATTACATCAAATGGAATAGTGATTTGCCACCCACCAATATCCAAACTAAAAATAGGCAAACGGCTTTCTTTTAACCATTATAACTTCCATAGTTTCTTTTTCTCCTTGAACTTACATTAATTCCACTATTTCCATGTGTAAATTTACTGTAATGGAATATATTCTTATGTTTGTTTATTTTTTATTTTTCATCATTTTATTCTTTTGTGTAATATGTAAAGACCTAAGTGTTAAAAAGATTTTTTGAAATGTTTTATAAATTTAATATGCTTTCATTTTTATAAGTAATTATTGATTATAAAATACAAAGGTTGTATTGGAAATCATGTCTTAGTAATATAGAAGGGCTACTTTTGAATGAGAGTTTTAGGTACTAGTTGAAAATTGTTTGCTTACATGTAAGAACTGGGAAAATCTGTTTATAGCAAGGAACTAAAGGAACTTAGTTCTACAAGGTCACTTAATTCTTTAAATTCCTTCTGAGATGTATAACCATTTTATATTTTTATCACCAAACATTGTTAATGATCACTTGAAAACGCTGGAATACAGAGTCTGCAAAAAGAGCCCTAGTTTTCCCTTTCCCCTGTATCCACATCTTCTGCAATTCGAAACTGGAAGTTTTCCAATCACGAGTCTATCTTACCACCCCTTGAATCTGGGCTGTCCTTGTGAGTTATACTGGCAAACCAAATGCAGCAAAGATTATTGTGTGGTGTGTGAGAACCTAAGCCTAAAACTTAAAAGGTTTTGCTGTTTCGCTTGGAATGCTGTTGTCACCATGAGAACAAGTCCAGGAAAGTATATTCATAAATAAGAGACCACAAAGAGTACAGCTGAGACACCCCAGCTGGCAGTTGGCCCACCTCCAAAAGTATATCTATCTGGCTTTCCATAACTGACCAAAGGTACAAGAGCAATACCAGCCTAGATTAACTAAGCTACATAAGAAAAAAACAAATGAAATAAATAAAATGAAGTTTAGTCATTGAAATTTGTGCTTCTTTGCAAGGCAACATTTTTGTAGCAATGGATAACTGCAAAAACAACTCACTTGTCATTATTCTAATTTTAATAAAAGCAAAGCATCTGAAGCTTTCTGATTTGCAAAAGGATTTGTCATGTAAGTAATATAGCTCTGGGAAATTTAACAAATTGTTTTTTTCAAAACACAACAGATGACTATTTGTTGCTATATTTTCATTTAGAAGCAACTTTTAAAATTCAACACACAGAAATAATTGGAAAAATCAAAATGTTCACATCAATACACACTTGTAATGCACTATATTTTATAAAGTATCATATTCTTTAAACATATTTGCATTCACATTGCAAAGTTGTAGAGTTAGCTCATTCAGTTTACATAAAATTATAACCAAAGTTTTGGCTGGGCGTGGTGGCTCACACTGTAATCCCAGCACTTTAGGAGGCTGAGGTGGGTGGAACACATGAGGTCAGGAGTTCAAGACCAGCCTGGCCAACATGGTGAAATTCTGTCTCTACTGAAAATACAAAAATTAGCTGGGCATGGTGGTGGGCACCTGTAATTCCAGCTACTCAGAAAGCTGAGGCAGAAGTGTCACTGAATCCTGTGAGGTGGAGGTTGCAAGTGAGCCGAGATTGTGCCACTGCACTCCAGCCTGGGTGACAGAGCAAGACTCCATCTCAAAAAAATAAATAATAATAATAAAATAATTTTTAATACATAATCCCAAGTAACTGCAAGTACAGGAGAAAAGATAATAGTGATACCAACATGGACAAGTGGTAACAGGCTTAGCAGACCTAAAAAGACAAATCCTAAACCAGGAGCAGAGAACTGGGAAACAAACCAATCTGTAGTTCAGGATGCTAAAAAGACTCAGGAACTATCAGCACCAAGATAAAGAGTCATTTGTGCTGTTTACCCAATATTTATGGGTTCTTCTCTCAGGCATATTATACAATTGTACTTTTCCACACCTCTGAAGTAAGGAGTGGCCATGTGACTTGCTTTGACCAAGAAGATGTGATCAGTGCTACCTGTGGTAGATGTTTCAAGAGGTGGGGTATATTTTACAAAGTTCCCTTTCCCTCTGCCTTGGCAAATACGAAAGCAGAGAGACAGACACTCCCTTAGCTTGGGTCCTTCGGTAGATGGCATACCATACAACTTTATTCTTTTAAGGCATAGATAATTTGGATTTGCTTATTACCAATACCAATAACCTATCCTGGCAAATGAAGTCAGGTACCTCAAAACTGAAGACATGGGAAGAATGGTAAAATAAAGAAGACAGAATGACAGCCATATCAAAAAGTTACATCCTTTGTTCCAAGTCCACTCTTCTGGTACAAACAATTTTCTTCACTCAGTTCCAAGCATGAGGGCAGTCATTTACTCTCCAAGAAGAGAATGAAGGAATCTTCTGTGGAAAATTTGGCCAGTTTAAGAAGAAAGATCTAGCAATCTTACTATCAGAAGCTCTTTACCAAATTTTGCAGCCACATCATCCAACAGAAAAGCTCAAGTTTAACAAGTGTCACAGCTGCACACCCACATTTAGAATTTCCAATCAGCTTCTTAATCACTTCTTCTTAAATCTGAGCAGACAATCTGAGAAAAATCTCTGCCACAAAATGTAATGTCAAAACAAACAAAGTAACAAAACAAAACAAAACAAAACTTGGAGAAAGTCAAATTATTCAAGGAAAAGTAAACATTTACAAAATACTATCGACATTCTCAGAGAGACAAGGAATCTGTTTCATCTACGGAGCAGGAACAAGATGCTATAACAAAGAAATACTCAGACAAAAAAAGCCCATTAAAATAAAATATTTTAATATATATTTTTTCTTAGATGGTAAAGATTTCCTAAAAGCAGAGTAGAAAGAAAAATAAATAGAAAACAGGCAAGAAAATTAGAAACCTAGTCCAGGAACCTCAATATCTCAATAAGAGGAGTCCCCCACCTGATCTCCTAAAAAAAACAAACAAACAAACAAAAACAAAACCCCAAATACAAAGAAAATTCTCAATTGAATAATTCACAGAAAAAACAAAATCTGAGAACTGAACTATACAACCTTCTAAGGACCTATCAATTTCCCCAGCATAATGGATGAAAATAGACTTACACCACAAAAATATTTCAAAACAATTATAGAGAAAGAGAAGATTCTGCAAACTACCAGGAAGTCAGAAAAGAAAAGGGTCACTTTACCAAATATTAGGAATGAGAATGGTTTGGAAACTCCCAGACACAAGACTGGAGGCTGGAAGATAATGAAGCAATGCATCTGAAGGAAAATTATTTCCAATCTAGAATCTAAACATAACAAAATAATCAAGTGTGAAGGTGACAAATATAGACACGTTGGGACTCCACAATTTATTTACCGTGTCCTCTTTATCAAGGAGCTTCAGGGGATTTTAGCCACCACAATGAGAAAATAAAACAGTAGTGGAGAAAACCTGGGATTGGGAATAGGGATTTTAATTCAACAGAGAGAAGGGAGGCTCAGAACGACAGTGAAGGAGATCCAAGGATAAAAGCTATGCACCAGGGCTTGGTGATGAACCAGTGTAGGTAGTAGGATTGGAAACCTCTAATAAGTGAAAAAATAATTGCAACTGGTAGATTATCTGATAACATTAACAATGTGAAAAATGTGAAAAATGATGCTGCAAGGCAATTGAAAGCTATGAAAATGGTTACAAAAGATACAAATTAAAATAAGCACATGAAAAGCATGCAGTTAATAACTTCAAAAACTAAGAAAGCTAATAGAATTATAGTTCATAAATATGTGAAAA